ATTATACGAACGACGTAATTCCACAGCCTAACCACACACACAATGTGGAAAATACGTCGTGCACGATACCCTAACTCATCGTCAGCCGCCACAAAAATTATTACAAGCTTATGAACTATGGTCATCATGTCCATTGCCTTTCACTCACACAAGTAGCACCTGGGCACGTGAGTGAGTTCCTGGCAATGAACACGGAAAGGGTTAAACCTGAAAATCCTGATCTAAGAACATGATTAGCGTTTATTTAACGGATTAACGTTCTTTTATCTTGTATATTTGCAACTTATCTGCAATGATTTTACTTTACAAAATTAACGAATTATTTAAATTTAAATATTGAAAGAAAATATTGATAATGAATAAGGAATTTACTTGTGAAAGAAAAGACAAGGACTCGAGATGTAATAAAATAATTGACTTTAATTTAAAAATGAATAAAAATAACCTCAGATGATTTCTTCATCAAAGCACATTTTCGAAAACACAAAAATAGAGTTCATATTTATTGCTTTGATTCCAAAATCTATCTGTCGCGAAATGTTTTCTTGCACATAATATTTAATATATTTTTCCACGAAAGAAATTTAATACTACTATTATTGTATTTCAAATTCGTTCAATTAAATTATTCAAGATTATTATAAAAAAACAAAAATGGAATTCGCATTTATTTCTTAAAACAACAATGATAAAAGATATAATCATTGTTGCTGTATCATAATTATAATGTTCATAATAACGAAGTCGAAGGGCATTCGACTTCTTCACTACAAGATACTTCAGTATTTCATTACTTAAATATGTACTTCAATGTTTATTCTATTGTAAACTATTCATGTTATTAATATAACATGTCAATATACTCAAACTAACTATCCATTTTTGTTATTATTATTATTATTCAAAAACGCGATGTGCAAGAAAACCTATCCTCAATTAATAAATAAAACACAAGAGACATTTTGTTACAACTCACGGGTATAATAAATACCCGTGGTCACTATGCTCATCAGAAATTCTACGTATACAACCAATCACTCGTGTCGATTTGGACCTTTCATCCTACGACATGATTGAGTGACCAGAGGAACCAAAATGCATGCAACTCACCAATGATGCGGTGAGCATGGTGAGTTGCAATTGCCGACAAGAAGTCATGAAGAAAACTGAAGTCGTGAAGACCGTCATCGTGAAGGCTGTCATGAAGGTAGAATCACTGGATGGATGAAAAATAGCAGCAGCAAAAATCTGTAAAAAAAACATTGGATATTATAGTCTGTTCCTAAAGACACAATTTAATATTTAAAAAGTTTTAAATAATAAAAAATTGATACTTTAATGTAATAGTTTAAAATCTATTGAACTCTATACATTTTTATTCTTTTTTTCTGATAATTAATAATTATGAAAACAAATTAAAAAGACTAAAATTAATTAATTTACAATATACAGATATACTTACATTCTTGGCTTCGTTGAATCCATTCCAAGGAATAACTGGCACTAATACCGGTAACGAATATTTAAAAGAAAAGAAAGCAAATATGCATTTAAAAAAAAAGAAAAATAAAGGATTATTAACGCGTCGGCTTCAGATTCAATCGGCGCACAAACACTGACTCTACTTCCGCGTGTGAATGTTATGTTTATACTGAGCATAGCCATAGGGCTCCGAAGGAGAAACTTGATACGTATAAAAACACTGACTCTACGGTCGCATTGCGCGCGACTACAAAAATTCCTGCAAGAAAAACGTTAGTGGGCGGGGAGCAGGGGGGAGGATTCTTGTCGAAGCCTGTCGAAGCCTGTCGAAAGTCTATTAAAAAAAAGTACTGCTGTTTTTATGAAGTTATAACTGACCGTTATTCGTTTCGCTGACGATAAGAGTGAAAAATAGAACGGCTATTTGAAATACACAGGAATAAATGTAAAATTTGATAAATATTACAATGTGATATAACTGAATGCAAGAAATTATATGAGACTATTCATTTTAGAATTTAAAATATCTGCGCAATCATACTGTGCAATAACCGTTCCGAAGCTTGTATCGAAAAATGTTCGCGTTTATAATTGCGAATTCTTTCGTAGAAATAATAAAAATAATTACTCAAGGCCAAATTATAACGACATTTTAAATTATTCGCGACCGAAATAATATAAAATGTGAGTTATTTCAATTTCTTATTCAAATATAACACGATTTAATAAATTTATTTTAAATTCAAAAATCAAATATTAATTACGTATTGTAAAATTATTCATCAAACAAATTACCGATAATTAATAAATAAAAGGACTTAAAAATGTATATTATATCTGGCTTCGGTATAATAAGTTTATCTTTACGAAAGCTTAATAAATTTGAAGACGAACCATCATGGCGTCCATATTTCGTTCTCCGCTACGTTCGGCGGCGTCTATACTTCGTTCTCCACTACGTACGTTGGCGTCCAGTACACTTTACGTGATTTTTGCAATCAACCAATAATCTGCACAAAAGAACATTAAAAATTTAAAATAAATGTATCGAACAGTAACTAATTATGCTAAAATTGAACTATCATATTTAAATTTCGTCGTAAAAATTGATAATTGAAACTGCCAGTAACTAACAATCAAATTCAAAAACGCGATGCAAAAAGAATTTGAAAAATTACGTAATATTATTACAATAATGTTCAAAAAGTTATAACATAAGTACGTATTAATCGAATGAAGCTAATGATAGTGTATAAACGGTAAGAGATTAGACATGAAAGTATTACGCAATAAATATACGCGCCAAATTTCATACCTAGAACAAGACGAAACGTCCACCCGCCTTGAGTTTCAACAGTAGACTGACTCCCCTCCCGCGTAGTAGTTTCATCTAAGCAGCAGCGGATTGGTGGAAAGGCTAGCGTCGCCTTTCACTTTCAATGCGCGCGCTAGGCCGAAGATTTGAATGTCATAAAACTATTATGGGCAACGATCTACGCAAATTCGTACCGGTAGCATAACAAATTTTCAATATTTTGATTTGAATTTACAAAATAAATAAAATATCCCATGAAATATTAGTTATGATAGAATTGAAAAATGGTTTTATGTTAAAAATTTCATGATTTAAAGTAATTAAAAAAATTGTTATATTTCATTTATTGTAGCAATAAATAATAATTATATTCTTTCTTCCTATAATTTTATTAATTCAATGTTTAAAAATATATTCTTTTGATGAAAGATGTAGAAAATTCTTTATTTCATACCTCTGTTTATTAAATTTTTGTCCATGAATCATTAATTTGATTTACTGTGTACCTCATCTAATTCTGACTCTTAGTTTGAATGTAACACTTTAATTTTCCATTTATAATAATAGGTGATACGTGATATTTTTATAATTGAATATTAAATTAAATATTAAATTTTAGTTACTCTTAAGAAGCTGATGGTATTTGAAATACGATTTCGAATATACGTTCGTTCCTTAATGTCCCCATGAAAATATCTAGATGCACAACTCATTTGGTGAATTAAATGTATAGCTTGAATCGAACACAGCGCAATCTTGTTGTAGAAGGAACGAATTTTTTTCGTATCCAGTATTTCAAAAATTCTCTTATGTTCTATAAGATACTACTAAATTTCTATTTGTATTTCCACTTATAGTCAATATTTTCATAAACAAAACTTTCAGAATTTTTCAATACTGTTTTATGAATATTGGTTATTAAAATAGTTTTCATAATATATATTATACTACATAATATAAATGATGCATGTACGAATAACCATTTCATTATATTAGATGGCGCTTCTGTATGTCATAAATATACAGCATGATGTTGTACTATAATGTACACTATTGCTGACATATTTTACGGGAATTGGTGTCCACGAGGTGATCTGGGGTAAACATTAAGAAAAATCCTTTCACAATGGAAAAGTTTGTGAACCCACTGATAGACCATGACGTAGATTCTCAGTTTATGGCTATATTAGCTGCAGTTATCGCAATTATTGTAACTATAGGTAATGTAATATAATACTCATAGGTTATAAATTCTGTATGCTTTGGGTCTATCAAATTTTATGATCATGTATTAAAAATTAAACAAATTATATATACAACATGAAAGTCACATGTAATAAATTTCCATATGTCAACTATTATTCAATAGTGAATAACATGCTCTTCTATGTTTCCACGTATATCATTAAATAATGTTTGTAATTTTTTAATGACATTTATAAATAATATGCTGTCTCACAGTTCCATTTATAATATTTTATAAATATAACATTTATTTATTTAGAAAAGATGTATATCATTATAGTCACAGTAATTTATGAACATCATAAATATAGCTATAAGTAATGAAACAAACATAATATTGTCGTTGTATACATAATATAAATATAGGTACATTTTTGTTTAAAAATTTTCTTAAACATTTATTCTAAGATCCATAAGTTCATATCTATAGAACCTTTTGTTTGGTAGTAATAACACGGCCTTAAACATTACTATCTTTTTTATGTCTGTTCTTCATCTCAGTATTGTTTGCCATATGGCACCGGAGAAGGTCTATAGGAAACAATATATTATTAACTGGTCTCAGTGATGCTGGTAAAACACTATTATATGCACGTCTACTATGTTCCAAATTTATTAAAACGCATACATCTGTAAAAGAAAATGTAGGTGACATTATAATTAATAATGTAAGTTTGTATTAATGCTTCTTCAGTATTTCATATAAAATGTAAGTTTTGACATACTGAAAACATAGGTCTCTAAAGTTGTTGGTGTATTTAGCGATCCTTGAAAATTGTTGATATACCAGGACATGAACGTCTGCGTTATAAATTTTTTGATCAGTTCAAGTCATCCGCAAAAGGACTTGTCTATGTGATTGATTCAGTAACTTTCCAAAAGGATATTCGAGATGTCGCAGAGTAAGTACATGCAGGAGATAAGTCATCACATTCTGTAATAGAAATAATAAATACCCTTTGACTTTCAGATTTTTATATAACTTACTCTCTGAATCTGCTATACAAAAAAAGTCTGTACTTATATTATGCAATAAACAAGATCAGACTATGGCAAAAGGTTCAGCTGTTATAAAGACTTTATTAGAGAAAGAAATAAATTTATTACGTATGACAAAAACAAGTCAATTGGAAGCTACAGATGCATCAGCAAGAAATATTTTCCTTGGCGAGCAAGGAAAAGATTTTGAATTTTCTCATCTAGATATAAATATTGAATTTGCAGAATGTAGTGCATACAATAAGGATTCTGAAACTTCTGCAGATATTGAACAATTAAACAATTGGTTAAAAAAAATTGTATAAAAATATTCAAATGTTTTTCATTTCTTCAAATAAATTATTTATTTGTAACTTTTTAAACTATTTTATTATTTTTGTATTATAAATGAAACTTACATTGTTGACTTTTGTACACATATTTAATAGTACAATTTACTATTCTTATTCAATATCACAAGTTACTTTTTTTTGTGAAAACGTTTTTACTGTCAAATATGTATTTTATTATTTTTATTGTAAATGCAAATTTATATTTTGATAGGAATCTTCAACTGGTTAACAAATATTTACAATTAAATGTGACAATACAATTTAATTCTTAACAATTATATATTAAAAATAATTGTTTTATACAAAATTCACCTTATAAATAATTAAATTTTATACCATCTACTTAATATACCTTAAATTTCTACTATAATTTCATTATAACCTAACGATATTATTTACTACTTGATCATATATGAAAAATAATTTCATTAGTATTTCCGAACTTTATAACAGCTATTTAAATTTAAACATATTTTCCCTTACATCTAACAATAAGCACATACAATACAAATAACAAAACTTATGTTTCACTTCCAAAACACCATTTTGATGATCAATAGATAACAGACATAACAGCACGTAAATACGCATGTAGCTGATTAATAAACATGGAAATCAAAATATGAAAATATGCAACAGAATTTTTTACATAAATCGATTTACTTGCAGTTATTTTTAAATATACTACCTGTTATAATTGTTGCTGAAAAGACGTATGTGTTGCATTTTTTTAAATTGTTTACGGGAAAAGATTAAGTTATGTAAAAAGAACTATTTTTTGAAATAAAGTCCCTTTAAAATATATATCCATGCAATGAATAATATGATAATGCAGTGAATCATAACAATTGAGACAAAAATATGGATGGACTAATTATGCAATTGAAAACTAATACCTTAAGATTATTTACACACATTATAATATATCATTATGTATTGCTATAGCGTATTTATATTTCAATTCTTCAAATCAAAAGTGCAAACAAATTACATCAACGAAAAAACTATTAGTTATGCATAATTTATTCAAAAATGAACATGTAGCAAAAGATTGATCTAATATGAATTAAAAACATTAGCTGCAAAGTAACATTAAACTTGTATAATGTACACAAAAATTACCATGTAATAAATCAGTAAAAAATCTTTGTAGCTTACGGCATCGTGCGCCATCTTTCGCTTAAAAAGGTCAAAATCGTGTAGGAGGGGGACTATAACCTCGATCAAATGTATTTAGTACTAAGTGTAATACTCATACTTAACACAAGTAGTGTGTGATAAAGTGTGTTACGTTTATCTTTATTGTTTCATGTTTTAATAAATTTATTCGTTATTAGATTTCGCCAGTGACTTTTGATCTCGTGTTACACTCAAGTCCATACTTCCGTGTTCAATAAATATTTTTTAAATATTTCACATAATGTCATTTGTGAAACCAACGGTTCAGGATACAAACTTCACGGTTAACGTTGGAGGTACTTTCACTTCTGTAATTATTGTGTTTATAAAAAAAAAGAATTCTTTGTCATTACCATCAATTTAATTGTAAATTAGCTACACACACATATTATACACCTGGTTCACAAAACGAATATTCCAAATGTATTCTTTAATTTTGACTTACTTTTTTTTAAGTGTATTCAATCACATGATTCAATTGTTAACACGGGGCTATACGTAGTCTGTTATCGAACATCCATCATGATATATACATACTTTTTTCTACGAACATATCGGAATTGTAATTTTAATGTTAATATCATTAACATTGTAAAATAATTTGTAAATAATCTATAAACAAGATATTAAGATGTAAAAATGTACTAAGAAAATTTGCAAATCGATTTTAATGGAGTATGTATACATTGCATGATATGTAAGTATATTTTACTTTTATGTTGAGGAAAGCTGTGCTTTATGTATTGAGAAGAACTACATGTCACAGTATTAATAATACATCGAAACTTGTAATATTTTATGAGATTAAAAGTAATAGAATATCGAATACTTATAGGTATGCGAATTAAATACAAAGACAAAAATGAAACCTTCATGGAAGATCAACTTGTAAGCAAAGAGCCTATTGGTCAATTTAAAGCATGGTTCAACGAAGCTTGCAAAACTCCGCAAATTTTCGAACCAAACGCTATGATTCTTGCCACAGCCAATAGGTACTGCTATATAAACCTCTTGTCGTTGTTCGTTAATAAACATTTTTAAAAAATATTATTTCTTACAGAGATGGAAATCCCTCTGCACGAGCTGTATTACTTAAAAGTTTTGGTACCGACGGTTTTAAATTTTATACCAATTACGAAAGCAGAAAAGGCCGCGAACTAGTGAGTATATCAAATTGATGTACCATTTTTAATACTATGAAAAAATGCTACAATTATTAAATTTTCAGGCTGAAAATCCTAATGTGGCAGTGGTCTTTTACTGGGAACCTTTGAAACGAAGCGTAAGAACCATCGATTTATGTATTTTCACGAAAAGATGCAATCAGCTGATCGAATAAATCATTCAACCAAAAATCACACTTTAAATCTTTTATCTACTATTTTACATACACGTAATATTTTGTATTAGGTGCGTATAGAGGGAAAAGTACAGAAAACTTCTTCAGAAGACTCGGATCGTTACTTTCAAAGCCGGCCATATGAAAATCAAATAGGATCAATTGCCAGTAACCAAAGTAACGTAATTGCAAGTAGGCAAACGCTTATCGTGAAGGAAAGAGAATTAATAGCACAATTTCCGGAGGGTCAAGTTAAAAGACCGAACTGGTGGTAATTTATTCAATTATTTATTCAATAAGATTGAATATTGTGTTATTGAAAATTTTCTATGTACAGTAACGATCTAATCTGATTTTCAGGGGCGGATATGTTATCATACCACATTCTGTAGAATTTTGGCAAGGCCAAAGTGATCGTTTACACGACAGAATTCGTTTTAGGCGACCTAAACCAAACGAAAAAATTGATAATGTACTCGTTCATAAGGGAGATAACGGTTGGGTTTATGAAAGACTATCTCCATAGATTTAAAAAAAAAGTTGATTATTTATTAAATGTATAAATGCAAGTGATACATTCCACAATAACGAGTTAGGTAAGTTTACGAACGTCATTTCCTTGTAATTATTAGAATTTCTCTTTGTAATCCTAAAAATATATATGCATACAATTATTTGTTCAGAAAAATTGAAAGTTATATGTTTAAACTAAAATTGATATATTTGATTACCCTTTTTACTTTTCCATGCTATCTGAACATCAAAAATATCATTTTCTTCTAATAGATTCTGAAATTGCCTCATTCCTCCTCCAACACCAAAATAATAACTTTTACCAGCAATGAATCTAGAAACATTATGTGTTTGATTTTATATTCTGTTCTTATAAGAATCTACACTGAGTTCAGATTTTAAAAATTGTACTTGCCCCACCCCATCCTGTTTGAGTTTCTGTTTGAAAACTTCGTATAGTTTTTTATGATTATCAGGATTATAAATCGTTTCACTCGTGAAAATGAGATCGTACTTCGGGGATTCGTTTTCGTTATTTGAATTATATAATTTCGTGAACGATTCCCAGTCGCCGCAAAAAAATTGACATCTTTTTAATACATTTTCTCGATTATCAAAATTCAATAAGACGTTTGGAATCGTTACACTTTTAATAACTTCAACATTCTGCAGAAATAATTGCACAGTTCATTTAATAATATAGTAGTTTGATAGCAATATATATCACAAGTTTACTGCACCAAATACGAACATAATCTTGAAAATGAACAATGGAATTTTTACGAAGAGCAATGAGACCAATAATACCGGTGCCACATCCTAAATCCAAAACAAATTTGTCTTGGAAATCGATATTGTTTTCGAATATATACTGTCCTAGATCGTAACTGCATTCCCAGATTTTTAAACCACCTTGGTACAAGAATTTGTGTAATTCAGCAATTTTTTATTATCGTGGATGTTGAAGAAACTTTTTTTAACAACACAAATATTAACAAGTATAATTTATGTTCCAAAAATACACAATTTTGTTTTAAAAAAAATTATAGTCTACCTTCGTATTTAGCGGGAATAAGATCAGAATGTTGTAATTCCGCTTCTATAATATTTGTACAATTTTGCTTTTGTAAATCTTGCAAAGCCTTTTCCGATTTAATTAGTTTTAATTTACAATCCGGAAATACTAAACATTCTACATAATCATTGGGCTCATACTGTTCTTCGAGTTGTAATTCTGATATTTCTACTTTTGAAGCAGATATCCAGTTAATTGTCGATTTTTTCGTATCGACAATTTCTTCTAGAATGTTCAATTCTTTTTTTAACACTTAAAATATTAATTCGATAGAGGCTTCGTTAGAAAATTACACGCATGCAGAAACATAAAGTAAGTATAACCTCAAAATTGTTTTTCAATATTGAAAATTTTAATTACTCGTATAGAAAGACAGGATACAAAAATACCTTCATCTTCCTTGTTACTCGAAAATCCGAATTTAAACATCTTACACTCGGTAGCTTTTTCCATACTTATTTGTGAAATACTAATACGCAATAAAATAATTTGAGACGGAAATCAAATCACGGCTTAACGATATATAATTCGAATCTAAACTGAAAGATAAACTGCATCGAATTACAAGATAAATTTTACAAATATTCAAAGATAACATCTTGTAATTTTAATAAATTAATCACGCCTTAATTAGCTAGTAAATTATTAATTTTTTTATATCTTATTTATGATAAGTCACGAATAAAATATAGTACAATATTTTATTATTAAATATATTTCCGTCAGCTCTCAAATTATTCAATTGTTATATTTATAAGTAAAAAGATATTAATAGGGAAGTAAATATTTAAAAAAGTAATGTAAGATATACATGTAACTTAAGAATTTAGAGTGATTGGTAAGTATTGTCGGTAAAGTAACAGGAAGAGAAAACGACTTAAGACACAACGACCTCTACGGAAGAATACATAAGTAACGTTTAAAAAAATAAGTTTTAAAAATTCATCTCTCCTTGATAAACTTTTTTTTTAGAATTGTATATTTTCTTTTCTTTTTGTTTAATCTTGTAAAAACTTTTTATATTTACTACATAATTTTTCGTTTGATTTTATATCACATTGAGTAATGCGTGATTTCCCGATATTATAATTTTGAAGTAATTTTTTTAATTAAAGACTTTACATTATATGATAAAAGATGGTAGCTTTTGGTTTAATACCAGTTTAACAATTTAATGATTTAGCATTAATTTATTGAACATGTTTGTAAACCTTTTTTATATTTTTCTAAACAACGAGGGAATAACAAGTAGAATGACTTGAATAAGCACTTTAAATTAGTTTCTTAATGCGTATAGTTGAACCCATAGTTGAACCTATAATTGAACATTCACCACAATTCTTTTCAAATGCATTTTTAGTTTTATAGTTCTTTTGAAGTGAAAGAGAATATTCAACAATATACTCACAGTAGTTTCCGATCCGAAATTTCCATAATTATCTTCAACACTATTCGACGCTTATAATCTTTTTCATATCTAAGACGTTGAATATGCATTTTCGTTACTTTCATTAATTATTCAAATCGGATAAAATGTTCAAGCTGCACTTGACAAATATCAGGAAAATGTTAATAGAAGATATATTTATATTAAACGACTAAATATTAGGTAGTGTTTTGTCATGAAATTTTTATCTCTCGATAACGAATACCTATTATCAATAAAATCGCGTATTAATGATTTCTAAAAATTTCAACGTGCTTAGAAATGAAGAAAACGAATTAACCAGTTGAGTATTTGAGTAAATTATTTTGTAGTGCGTTTTGTATGCTATTCCATTATCGAATGCAGGTTTTAATAAACAATCGTGAAATTATCGAGTATTGTATCTTATCACGGTAATACTTCACGTTGTATTGTTGTTCTATCACTTGGATTTTTCTATCTTGCGCAGATTATGGCTCGTTTTCTCAATATTCATTGGACAAAGACGTATATCGACAGTCGGTTCCAACGAATTCGTTTCACTTGTTTTCGTAATACAATGATTCGAAGAGGGGAAAGGGTTAAAAGACCCAACGGTCGCTTCTGAGGGACTTCCCGGCCGCGATCAATTTTTCGTTTAAAACCGGCGCTCTTTCACGATTCTCAATCAGTTATACTTTTAACCACGAGCTAACACGTCGTCGAGCATTATGAAATCGCCTATTTTTTTCATACTTATATTCTACGGTCTAACATTGCTCGTGCCGATCGAAAATGTTGACGGTGTGCCTCTCTCCTGGGGGAATTTTAAAAACGATTCTGGTAAGAAGTAGCGTGATTGTGTCAGTTTGCTAAAAATTAGGAATTACCTCTGCCAAATAAATATCAATAATATAAACTATATCATTAATTTTTATATTATTTGTAAATATTTTTTTATTCAGTGGCAAATCTGCATTTAATTCAGTTCTATCTCAAACACTTGCAAACCGACGTAATAAAATTCGAAATCTGGCTGAAATATGTTACAAATCTGTATGTAGTGTTCAAGATACTTTCACTTGTAAACTAAAGTGCTTGTTTCTAATCATTGTCAAATCATATCTTATATCAAATTTGACCTATCACTCAACTATACGGAAATCGAAGTATTCAGAAGAACACTTTCATTTGTGTGCAGTGATTCCAAACATAGTGAGTAGAAAGGAATGGGGAGCCAGACCACCGGTGGAACAAGTCCTATTGGAAGTGACCCCAACTCCGTATGTGGTCATTCATCACGGAGGCATTGCTAAATACTGTTACGACAAAGCAGCCTGTTCCGAGATTGTAAGAAGCTACCAAAATTACCATTTGGATGGCCAAGGCTGGTTCGATATTGGTTACAATTTTGTCATCGGCGAGGATGGAAACGTTTACGAAGGGCGAGGCTGGAATTATGTCGGAGCGCATGCACCTGGTTACAACACCCAGAGCATTGGAATATGTATCATTGGTGATTTCAGTGGTGAGTATTTATCGAAGCTAATCAAAATGCTGAAAAACACCTATGAAAATATCTCCAAAAAATAATGATATTTGGAACGAATGCGATTTGATCGGATTTCATGCTACTAAAAATTGGAAAATTGTAAAATTTAGAAATTCAAGATGGAAAGAAACTTCGATATATCTGTCATCTTAAATTCTTGTAATCGTCGAGACATTTTTAAACACGGTTCCACGATGAAAAATTCAAAAACTTCCCAAGGAACAGTTATATAATGCGATAAAATAAAATTTGGAAACTTTTTTTAATTTTCATCGTGCAGCAAGAGTTCCAGGTACCATTCGATTAAAAATAAATTCGTAAATCTAATATCGCGTGACAATGATCTTTTGCGCAGATTTCTTACCCAGCGAAGTAGCTTTAAAGGCAGTGAACACTTTGGTCGATTACGGAGTGTCTCTTGGCAAAATCAGCGAAGATTATCGCATCATTGGTCACCGACAAGTCAGAAATACCGTGTGTCCGGGCGAGGTGCTTTACAGATACCTGCAAACCCATCTACGATGGACTTGCTGTCCCGTACCAAGGAATGCGGCGAAATTCTCTATGATCGCGGAATACGCGAATAAGTGAAAAATGTGAAACGCGAGCGAGCAGACTCAATCTATTTAACGATATCAGTATCTTAAAGAATAACGTATAAAAAATTGTTGTAATCGATGTACAACGTTGGACAACGAGCGTGACAAACGTGTAAAGAAACTCGCACATTTACTACGTCAAGGAAGTCTTTTACAGTATTTGTATCGTACTATCAGGGAGAGATTCAATTAACGATAATAATGCGATATAAAAGTTTTCGTTACTTCGTTAACTACTATTTATTTTTTCGTTCGACCGATTAGTTCAATATGGGCATAGTTGACTAAGTATAAACGAATGATATCTGTTGAAAGTTAGATTAACAGATTTACAACGCATATTTTATAAATAAGGTCATAGGTAATGTTAGACTACTTCTCGTAATATATCCCCGATTTTCTTGTTGTATAATAGTATGTAGATGTAAATAATTCTGAAGAAACATTCCATGTGTGTGGCGCGTAATGAATGAATTGAGAGGTTTTTTGTAATATAATACAAATCTGTGAGATGTTATACAATTTTCCACGTTAAGATAGTAAATAAATGAAATGTTGGATGAAATTAAGCAGATTATTGCTTCGAGAATTATCTCGTCGTGTTTCCTCCAAAAAAACAACAAGTATATGTCACTGCTTCCTTTATGTTGATTTTACATAATTTATAATGACATTTTCTGCAGTGGTACGTATTTCATGCAGAAATCTGTGAAGAGCTATGTAAACCTACAAAAGTATTTAATTGTCGAAAGGAATTTCCAACTTCTGTTATCTGGGTCAAAGTTCAGGAAATTCACCTCGATGATCTTCTATATATAAATCTCCATGCACGTATATAGATACGTGTACAATTTAGCAGTGCCAGTACCTCTCCGTGAATGAAGATGAAGTTATTCTTGTTCCTTCTACTCGTCAGTTGTCAAGAGCTGTTTTGTGCAGTGCATCAGACACCAGGTAATAAATTGTTCTTTGAGAATCGTTGAAAATCGCATCAATGTGTCGTGTAGTGTCGCATAGTGACAACAGTGGAAGTCTTTCCATATCATCTTCGAATCAATTCACAATTCCAAAATCGTCAAGTCTTCGAACAGATCCATCGATCTTTATCGTTGTAAATTTTACAGTAAAGTATCCTTATTCTCTTCCTTATCCTCTCAGGATCTTTTCTCGAGTACAATGGCTCGTCTCATCGTGTAGACTATTCGTCATTACAATTAATTATGACTTACGAATTGGTTACAATTAGTCTAGAAAAAAATATTTATTCGATACATTTGGGTTTGCAATGGCTACCTGCGTTCGTATAGAAAAGTTTGATGAAATATTCGAGAAAAGATTCCGCTTGTTAATTAGTAAACAAGAGTGTTTATTTATTGCCGCGTTATCATCGCACAGTGGGTATCTACTTGTTCAAAGTATTCTAATTAAGAAGCAGTTTGCATGAGATTCCCCGTCTAATCGATTCAGGGACTAGATTGACTACTCGTGACGAACCGTTCGAAAACATGATAATTATCGTTACGACATGCAGTGCGATGACACTGTTCCTTTATAAAACGTACATGCAAAGATAATTTACCGTAGCTGCAAAGTAAAGATTCAATCGCTCAGAGGAAATCATTATTTTGAGTTGTCTCGTCTAGATTCTATATACCATGACTGTGTCTATCACTAAAATGAAGAGGTGACGAAGGAAAAACAAAACAAAGCAGCAGTTGCAAGAACGTTTCCTTCAATTCTTGAATTAAACATTAAAGCAGGCAGATCGTTTAAAACGGAAAATTTTACTTAATTGTTTGTTACGCGATGCATTTAAGAAAATATTTTCAACATTGTTTCACGTTGTATTTACAAACTGAGTTAAAATGATCTTTTACACGCTTCGAGTTCACTTTAGCTATAGATTCTTTTTAAGATATCGATACTTCGATATTCCATATCGACTCTATAATATAAATAATGTAAATTACAAAACACACGAATAGTTTTTAAATAATTCGAAATATGTTTATTTAGAGAACTATTAATTTCTGTTAATTTGTTTCGATATTCAGTACGTCCAAACATAATATCTAGATCACAATGGGGGGTCAAAGCATCGAAATTGACCATACGAAATCTTGCAACCATCTTTTACATGTTTCGAGTTCATTTTAGCTATAGATTCTTTTTAAAATATCGATACTTCGATATTCGATATTGACTCTATAATATAAATAATATAAATTATATAACACACTTGGAATAGCTTTTAAATAATCCGAAATATGTTTATTTAGAGAATTATTAATTTCTGTTAATTTGTTTCGATATTCAGTACGTCCAAACATAATATCTAGATCACAATGGGGAGCCAAAGCACCGAAATCGACCATACGAAATCTTGCAGTCGATCCACCGCCATTTATTATAATCCATCATTCGGCTACCGATGGTTGCACGACTCAAGCGATTTGCCAGGCCAGGATAAGAAGTTTTCAGGTAAGTAAACAAAACTTACCCACTTATCGGATTACGAACTTTGAATAAACGATTGATAATCGCTTGTTTAGAATTTGTCAGAATAAGATTAAATTCCAATTCTCGTGTATACAGACGGACAAGTTACACGAATGTCGATTAGGAATAAAATTATTCCCCTTTTTCGAATATCTAAAATTCGAGAAATATATATATAGTATACATAATATCGCATATTTTTCTACTTTGGTCTGGAAAGATTATTTTGGATACAAGAAAATATATAAATGCAAGCTTAAAATAATATTTTATCATTTGTCTTTACGATTATACTTAGAATCATCACATGAACGAAAATAACTGGGCAGACATAGGATACCAGTTTTTGGTTGGAGAGGACGGAAATATTTATGAGGGAAGAGGATGGGGCAAACATGGTGCACATTCGACGCCTTACAACTCGAAGAGCATTGGAATTTGCATGATTGGCAATTTCGTTGGTAAGTTTTCTGCTATCGAATAAATTCATTTTTCAAAGTTACAATTAAAGGAAAACCGTAAAACTAAACGAAAAATTCGTACATAATCAAGATAGTTAAAAAAAAAATATCCTCATGCTTTCTTTTTAATTAAACAAATTTTTCCTTTCTTAAATGTTAACCATGGATAAAATATTCGCAGGTCATAATCCAAATGAAGCGGCGATAAAAGCAGTTAAGGATTTAATCACATACGGTGTGGCTATTGGAAAAATACAAGAGAATTATAAGTTGCTTGGCCATCGACAAGTATCGCAAACGTCTTGTCCAGGTGACAATCTCTACAATCTGATTAAAACATGGCCTAACTGGACGTCGATCGAATAATTATACTTCATTCTAGACAAATGTTTGTCCGTATTGCGTTATTCCTTCGAATAAAATCAAATCTTGCTTTTACCCTAACATCTCGCGTTACAAATGTTGAAAATTATAATAATAATCAAGTGACTCTTTCTAATGGTTATGAGTAAAGTGTCACAATGCCATTTACCGAATTGTCATACGTGTCTTCCTCGGTTCGAACGCAAATGTCCAGATGAGAGAAATCCGGTGAATTCGTTTTAACGTCGCTGTAATGGCTTCTGTCTCTAGCCTAAAGAATGCGATGCAGTTATTTTGTGACAAGTATATAGTATTGAGCTTTAAGCCTGTATTACCTGAAGTGGAATCCTTCGCAGGAATTTCGCGTTTAATTCGGGAATACACAATTTGGTGCCGTATGGTATCCCTGAATCAAGGTCCATGGAGACTGTGACGAATTCGGTGCGGCCATCGAGAAAATCCTACGACGAAACTTATAACAGTATTTCCATCAGCAATGCGAATAAAGTTATGAAACTATAGTAAAACTAAAAAGTCAAGAGTCAAAGTTATACCGTAGTTGCCGAGCTGTTGGCTATAAGGAAATCGTGAAATAATAAAGAAAGGGAGAAATAAAAGGGAATTTTATAGCGTTAGCGAAATATTTGCCTAGGAATATAATATATAAATATTTATAACATAATATATAAATATTTGCCGTGGAAAATATTTCGATAGGAATAAATTCGACGACGAACCTGCAGAGTCCTCAGCTTCTTCATCCTGGCATCCGAGTAGTCGGATTCGTCATCGCTGCTAAAATCAGGATAATAAGCAGACATAGTCACGTTGTAATGAGCACGACCACTGCATTCGAGACCTGTCTCGTCCGAGCCAATTTCTATATGGATTAATCGCGTCAGAAAGACACGTAAAGCACGAATAAAAATGCAAATATAATAATTTATCGCATTATAATTACCGCTAGCTATGACAAGTGAAATAAAAACCAGTACGAGCGAAGAAATTATTATCTGTTTCTCCATCTTGCAAATGTGAATCACTGTTTTACAGCACAAGCTTGATCACACGGCACGTTGATATACCGACTGACTCTTGCAATTTATAAAATAAATTAGGTCAGTCGATGTGTCAACATTTGGAATTTGCAGGTCTTTCAAAAATCGAAGACAGGAACGTCGTTACACGTCTCGATTACAATTGTTCTTACACGTTCACAGTCATCTAAAATCGGCAAATCATCACGATTATATAACCAGTTTCTTATTCAAAAATCTTCGCGATTATAAGGGAACATGGCTAAACGAGTGTCAAATTGTCAAACGTCTAAGTCACATTTCTAACTATATATGCTACATCAACACCGAGTCTAACGATGAGCATATGCTCGTTCGTCTAATGAAAGATTCAATGCATCGTGAGTCAGCAATAAGCATTGTACAAAAGGAAAACTTTAACATTAAAATACCGGTGTCAAATACGTCTCTAAATTCTCAGCTTTCCTATGATAGACATCGTACACGATAATAAATTTCATCCACTTCCTCCTCCCTTTTTCGATCATTTTCTTTTTCGACAAATATCTCTTCTCGAAGTGACACACATATTCAAACGTGAATTCAAGATTCTTGTGAATTAATTCCTACGAATTATTCCATTTTGAAGGAAATATTTCATTTTGAGGTAACATGTGCTCGAAGTTAAGTGTTATAGCGCGAATTAAACACGTTTGAAGGAACAGTTCACGTTTGATCGGTCGCATTGACCATAGAACTTCATTATCCTGCTCGTTGCGAACTCAATAGGGGCATAGATAGCGTACTAGTCTTGAATAATAGAAACTGTGTTTGACTGGGACACGTGGAAAACTATGCGTTGCCAGTCGACCGACGGATACTTTAGGATTCGTATGTGCCTTTTTGCAAAAATATTTCTCACAATGGCTACCGATTACCACAGCCCGAGGTAAAAACCAAAGGACCATTAGTAAGCAGCATGGTTGTACAGTCTTTATTGGAGATGGTGTAATTCAGAAGAAACAAAGGTGGTTTGTTAAATAGAGATAAGATTCACATTTTCGTCTCCTTTTTTGATCATTTTGCTCACTTTACTCTTCTTCGTAATTCCTTTTTTCACGCCATTGCCAATTTCCGATTATTTACGATGTTATTATACCAGCGAGATATATCAAACGTGTTCACAATAAAAATTAATAGCACGGTACTAAATGTAATTGAAATGCTTTGGAAAATCCTGCAGATTGTTTTTTAGTAAGAACTTCAGAATTTTATGTACGCAATAGACGCTTTGCAAAATATGTAGATCATAGTACTGCCTATTTTACTCTATAATATTTCATTTTATTCCATCGTGAATTATTTCTCGTAGACAGTTTAAGTTATTTTGTTCGAAATATTGAAAGAAATATATATTTACGAAGATAATAATTATTATCAATTATTCGCCTTATGGTAGTATGACTTTTAAACGAATTTTTTAAACAGTTTTATATTATCTGACATAGGTAGTTTATTTCCAGTTAATTATTCTTCCATATATTAAAACTACTTTTTAAGGTATCTCGATATAAAGTCACTTCTGTCAATCGTTATTCCTTAACCCTTGCACTCGGCGATTTTTTCGTTACAGGAAAATAATAATTCGAAGTCTTCCTGCCATAAAATCGACGATATTTTTAAATAAGAAATCGTATGCAAATTAAGACGTAGATTTTACTTCGATATTCCACGCATCGTTGGGTAATTGTAAATTTCACATATTAACCCTTTGCACTCGAGAGGCGCCCTTTAGTATCCATTTGATAAAATTTCGAAGATCTATATTAATTAATATGTCAAATTTAAGATAACGTAACAGTGTGCGCGGTGTCGAAATGAAATAATTCTACGTGTTAATTATTGTACAATTTCTTATTTACTGCTGAAAATAATAGAATTCAGCTTTGTAGCAGAAAATCTTTGAACTCCTACCCTTCTTTAGCCAAAAAGTGGTCGAGTGCAAAGGGTTAATTAACATCCATCTTTAAGATCTGATTAAATGGCGACTGAGAGGCGTCTCTCTTCATTATATATAATTTAATAACACGATCCGAAAATTGCGCAATCTCGCATCGAAATCGCGTGTGTTCGACATACACTCGACTTTGTCGAAACTTCGATATCGAGCAATTAACGCAAATGTTCCCCGGCGATTGCATCGTGCGATGATTCCATATCTCATTAGTAGTAACTGGATCGACACAAGATTCACGCAACGTACGTGATCGATGTGTCATTGCTCCAGAGATTATCGATTCCGGTGGTCGAGCTGCATGTTAAATAAGTAAACGAGGTAAACGACTAGCGAATGAACATAAACAATCGGTATCTCGAGCATCGAACAGAGAAGTCGATAATCGTTAAGTCTCGAGCCGTTCCAGGGCTGATGGGGACGTTAACGATGAATAAAAAATAAGTGTTCCGACCTATGGATTTTTTTTTTTCTACTAAAGGGAGACACGATTGGGTAAATTTCTGCGATGAATATTTACAGAGAAACCGTGAACTGCGTGTTTAAATATGAAACTGATCGTTTAACTATTTACCTCGCGATGCGATACTTTTCTTCTTCAAGGAACAACTGTCTTTTAGACTGCAATGAAAGTGTTCAGCAAAATGATAATATTTCTTTGCCGTATAAATGATTGTTAAATTTTTTTAAATTTATTTAAGAGAATTTTTAATTAGATTTTTAGAGCTTCTTATCTTTTAAGATACATAAATCATCTACATAGTGATTCTCGTGTCAGCTTTAAGGAATTATCTTAGTATCATTCGAATAAGTTAGGTTTTCAATCGAATTTGTTTCAATTTAAATTTAATGTCACATAGTGTATATGATGTCTGCTATGCGTACAATAAGGAACAAGTTTGTTTAAAACAAGATGAAGGTAATTGTACGGAGATACGAGTTTTGGCGAGAAATTTCATGATTATTTTACACATGGCTTGCATCGATTGCTTCGTTTCCTGTATTGATAAAATATGGTAATTTCATATTGTGAAACAGTTTTCGCAATTTAGTTGATTAGAATTATCGTCTAATTTACTAGTCTTCGATAGTTACAAACAGTAAGGGGAAAAACCGAACAAATTCGCGCCGTCCTTGTATACCTTTTTCAACCGGATTGACGGTGATTCAAGGATCACAAGTGTATTTCCAGTCCTTGTGATTTCTATCTTATCCATAAATATACTTTACTTGATCGACTGTTGAATTCAACAAAGAGAAAATAGCAGATTTAAAGCAGTATGCAAAAAGAAGAAACACGATGAAATCATTCCTGCGGCAATTGTTTTATGAAATATTATGCAATTAAGATGAAGAGAAATTTGAAGATATACCAAATTTCAGAAATGAAATTTCAGTTAGGGAAATATTTTGTTAAATTTATATTACGTTCCAGAGTAATTAAAAATTAAAGGTTCTCGTGTATTAATTTAACCTTACGCAATACTTTAAAATACCTCGTTGATTTGTAGAGTAATGATCGTCATCGTTGTTTAATCACTAATTGCATGACTTTGCGAAAATTCCGATTAAATTTGTTCTAAAAACTCCTTCTGACGTACCTCTCGAACATCGAACTAGTGACTCACGCACTTTTCTCGCACCTGCCTCTATCTTTTACTAAAACAGAAAAATGAGTTCGTAAAAATCGAAGATAAAGTTCATCGTAAAATTTGATCGATCGATCGTCGATGATTTTTTAATTCCCGAATGTGTTCGTGTGAATCTTTCTCATCTGTGTGATTAAATCGACACCAGACTTTTAAAATCCTCGATAAACGATTCTCAGACGCCACTTGTTTAAATATGTGGGACACATGCAGCAAAATTACAAAAATCGATAATCAATATGAAGTTTAAAATAAAACAAAATGACAAAATTAAAATATCAAATTTTCAATACAAATTTATTACGCGAATTTATGACCATGTTAATCTTTTGCGCAGGGGAACATTTCTCGCGTGGCTATTCGTTCGAACGAAAGATTTTGCAGTGTGTAATAAGGAAACAATATCACGAAAATTGCAATCTTCATTTTACACCACCAAATTCGTCTGTCTTTTATTTAAAAAAATTTTTTTCTGTGTATTGACCATAACGCGAAATGATTTTAGGCGACTATTTGCCTAATTATAATTGCCATAAGAAAGATCTTCGACGTAAAAACGCGTCATGAATTTTACTATAGAATAACTTCCAAAATTATATGTTTGCATCACGAAAATTGCAAGCGTCACTTTACACCACCAAATTTATTCTTTAAAAAAATGTTTTTGCGCATATTGATCATATCGCGAAAACATTTTAAACGACTATTTGCAGACACTCCTCCGCAAAGGCTTCCTTAGAATCGCCATAAAAATCATCTTCCTCGACGTAAAAAGGCGTTATCGATGTTATAACATAGTTCCTACATTCTTGTGATAAAAGGTCCTCGAGTATTATAGGAAGAGTTAGCAACAAATGTATCAGATTTTTCTTGAAAGAGAAAATTTTTCTTCGAAAACAGCGTTTCGCGTGGCGACTGTTCATCTTGCATATATATCGAATGTCCAGGGTCTGGATGACCCCACGAATTCTATGGAAACGTGTTCACAGGTGGCGTCGCGACGCACGGCATCGACTTCATTCGTCGCGCGACGCTTCCTCGTATCGCACGTTCTCTTTTCTAACTCGTCGCTCGCGATTCCATTTCCATTCCTTTCGTGGCGTCGCGACGCGTTCACCTGTGTTGCACCGTGTCGCGAACTATGACTCCGATATGACAAGAAACTCGTGACACGAAGTCGATCAGGTAATTCCTCGGGGACCACTGAACCGAACGATCGGTCGAAGATCGACGATGCACCTTGCGCACGCTTCATGCTTTTCCACGCGCTTTTGACCTCTTAAAGTACCTTCGCAGGCACTCCCCTTGTAATTTCTGCACTCGTGTGTTTTTCCAAATTCCTTTCCTTTTTTTAATTTGAAAATTCTTTTCTTGTAACCTCTAGATTGTGTTTCGTATCAGGATCGTCTTCCTCAGGATCGTTGTCCTTCTTTTATTATACTTTGAAATTGTTGCTTTCATGAATGGAAGGCGTTGCATGTTTGTAAAGATAATTGCACGTTGCTTGCAATATTACTATTTCAAGTACCTCGGCTTACTAGAAATGTTACGTAAGTTACGATTGTTCCAATTTCGACTTTTTCTTCCCAGATAAGAATCAAATTTATTATATTTCGAACGATGATGTTCTGCACTTTGTTCTTATTACTTTTACTCCCAATTATTTCTCGATTACCGAAGAAATTACCAGAGATAAACTTCTTTTAAATTGCATGTTCAGCTTTTTCCTTGAGGTACCGAAGCAATTACGTCGTCGCTGGAATACATTTTCCTAACACACTTCCCGCAAATTAGTCGATTATTCCATCTCTACTTAATGAAGTGTGCGTAATTTGTTTGTAATTACTATGCCATTTTGTTATGGACGTGCTACGAGAATATACGATATTTCCACGTAAGATGAAGCGTTGTAATCGAATTTGCGATTAATCGCATGCACTCTATCGCGACTTTCATTCACTTCACGCCTCGTCGTTGCTGAAATTGTCAAATGCTTTCGCAAATTGGATTCCATTTAAAAGCTGGACACTTCTTGGAAAGGAGCGAAGCGATGTAGATAAATGCGTGTTCTACTTACACAGAATGGTGGAAACCTTCCATCTTTCGCCCCCCTGTGAATTTTTACCACGCGAATAAAACGTGAAATTCACAGCGATAGCGTCACACTCGTTATTTGTGTCACATTTGGCTTCACACGCGACCAACAAACACGGGGATCTACCGGTCGTTGAAACAGGAAAAACAGAATTATGTCGTCTACCTTCTTTTATGCTTCATTTTTATGAAATACGATCATTTGCATTCCATTCTTTTGCATCTTCTTCAAGTCCGCTTTATCTTATAATTTTAGGATATTTATTGAGATATTTTTAATCATTTTTATTATTTTTATTATTTTAATTAAAGGTATCACGTTAGACTTTAATTCTCCCATCTTTAAGTCGATTTTATTTTCTGACATTGGGATATTTTTAATTATTTTTATTATTTTTACTATTTTAATTATAGGGTAATTATCACGTGAAACGTTAATCTTTGCGTAGCCATAAAAATTCGTGAATTTTTCATTAACAGGGTCGCTTGAGGAATTATCTTGGCAGCCCATGAAATTTAATATTTATTTAGGATATCGTGACAAAATTTTAGGAATAAATCGTATCGCGTCGAATAATCTGCGATTCGATACGAGCTTGGTCACACACAGTTTCGATTGGATAAGCCTGATGGAGAATCAATAACGAGCGTTTCAAGAATTGATTTGTGGCCGCGTGTGGGAGGAATTAGAACTTTCTAGATGAAAAATTTCAACACTCTTCCCAGTCACTTAACTTACCGATTTTCGTGAAATTTATTCGTTTAATTTTCTTGCGCAGATGAATGCGACAACGTTAAAATCTTGGTTACAACGAGGAGAACTCGAGAGATTGGAACATGTCGTTCTAGAAGGACGAGGGGCTCGTCTGTTAGGTGAATATTCTCCAGATCTCAGGACTAGAGTCTTCCTAAAAGGACTCCCGAATTATCTGGTAAGGTATACTGTATTTACCGAATTACAGAGGAAAGAAAAATCCGTGTTTTGCATTTTCGTGGTCACACAGTGACACTAAGATATCGTTTCTTTATTTTTCAGACGAAAATCTCGTACGTGCATGACGCGGTTTCGCGTGGTTCTTTGATCGAAACGCAGAAGCTGATATCAGAGGAGCCTAAGAAGAAACTGGCTATCTCGAAAGATCCAACTGGCACGCCATTGCTTCACAAAGCCGTGTATCACGATCATCGAGATATCGTCGAGTGGCTCGTGGAAAATTATCCTATCACTGTCCAGCAGAAAGACAAAGTAATCGTCGTTGTGCAATTTTCCTTGATTTTTAAGTATCGCACCATTCGTGTCAGACTTTTCAGAATTTCCGAGCACCTTCTCGGTTGCTGCTACTTTCTATTTACTATTTACACGTATTAAATACTATTTATTCAGAGTTTCGTTACAATTTTTACACACTCGTTGTTCGTTGACTCGCGATAAATTTATAACGTTTTATCTCTAGTTTCCCCTATCGCACCCGAAATCTATACTCGAGAAAATCATACTCCTAATCGACTGGTACTTACTCGAGTGCTTATCTCTTCCACTATAGCAAGTGAGCCACGAATTAATTTATAATTTGCCTGTGAAAAAGATCAGAGATGAACTTAAACTTTCTAGATCGATATTCAACACACTGACCCCTTCAACGTTACTTTTATACCCCGGTAACGAGGATAAGAGGAAAACATATAAACCTGAAGTAAGTTTCGTGTCTACATAACAATTTTAAGTTCAAGTAATTGTTTCAATTATTCCAAAACTGGCCCCAGAAATTTATTAATTAGTTGACTGCCATAGAGGACACTGATACTCTATTGCCTCGCTCTAATGGCGTCGGGGCACGTATTGATGGTCACAATACCAAAATTAGCGAAAGTATTTAATTTTTAAAACCATATTTGCTTATATTTTTGACTATATATACATATTATTTTCGCGTATCATTACGATCTGTCGTGATGAAATATTCTGGCAGAACGAACTATAGTTATATAGAATTTATCTGACAGTCAACGGGTTAACACTAACCCTACCATGACCTCGATAACTTTTTTAAAACTTTCATTAAAAATTCCGCATTGAACGTTATCGTCTTACCATCTGGTCTTCGCGAATTTTCTCTCTATGTACCTAATCAATTCTTCAACGTCTCTCCTTCTTCCATTTCTCGGTAAAACAAAGTTTCACTTCGCTTTCCTTCACCCAGTCATTTGACAGTGGTAGGTTTAACGTTAAAACTTGTCAGAAGTGAGAAATCATTCTCGCGATATTTATAATTATCGTAGCAATCGATCGTTAAGGACGAAGACTCGCGGCAAGAATTCCTCCGCCATTTGCAAGATCGTTGAAGCGTCACGATCCTGTCGTGACGATGATGTTTGCGCTTCTTCCGAGATATCCGACTGCTGAATAATCGAAAAGTAATTTTTCGTAACGACGGTCGTCCATCCCGCATCGCGTGACTCGGCTAATAACAAAGTGTAAACCACCTGTTCTTCCCTGCAGCCATCCGACTTCGTGTCCAGGCGCACGCAGTGCCTCAAATATGGCAAACGCCAGCTTCTCACCCCTTTCCCACCCTCGATCTCGATTCAACCTTTATATTCACCGTTTATCCGTCGCCGGCTTCGCGTTTTACATAGCCGTTCCCCTCAAATATTCATCCTCTAATGGCAGTCACGCTTTTTATCGCCGGGAACTACCGTTCGGTGAAGTTATTTTAAGAAGCTACGAGGGATCGTTTATGGCAACGATTCGATAAGCCGATTACGTTTCGAGCAATTATCGCGTCTGATAAAAGCGTTTAAGGTAATCCGTTGATTCAGTGATAACACAGACACGTTTTGGATACCCTTTTAGGAAAATTGTTCAAATTCCACGAATATCTAGGTTCACTGTGCTTCCGGTAAGATTTTAGGGAGTGTTATAGGATGAACGTGGGATGTTCTTTATATTTTTACAAGTAATTTTTGTAAAAGGATTAATCGATATTTAACACGTTAAATGCTATTAAGACGTTAGACTTTTCGTTCGGGCCCAGACGGTCCTCAGGAACGGGCCCAAACTAGGACCAAGAGGTGCTAACTTTCGGTGTTACATTCTTCGCCATCTTTGGACCTAACGTTTGGGATTCCTGTTATAACAATTAGTACAGTATTTCCGAGTTTTATGAACACTTCATCCGATGGCCCACTTGGCGGCCGAGTTTGGACCCGAAGGGAACGGAAAGCAAAACGAGCTGGGAATTAACTTAACATATTAAGTTAATAATAATGATCAATTCTGTTTTCCTCGATTTCGTGTACTTCATTTTTTAATATTTCTGGGTTTTAGTATTTTTATTTATTTTCTTTGGTGCAAAGCTATGGAAGGTGCTCGGTGGTGTTTCTATATTTCACTAGACGTGAATGTCAACAGATTTCGCACAGAATCTGAAACTGCAAAGCTTCGAAAGTTAGAAGAATTTGAAAGTGTTGTTATTTCAAGAAACCCATTCGTATTTAATAAATTGTGAAATAAAGGATCGTTTCGAGCAAGTCCCTATTTGAATAATTAATTAATTCCTTAAGAATTATAGATTTTAGGAAATCTCTTGCAAATATCGTATGGAGGATTTTTCAATTTCCCAAATTTTCGAGTTTTCTTGTATTTTATAGATGGTTGAGATGGCAATTGAGATTTTTCGTTTGCTAATTTTTAGGAAGGAAGGACAGCGTTGCATTATTGCGCTGCTTGCAAGGATCCCGAGGGAATTTGGGATGTCCTCATAGAAAACGACTGCGACGCGAGTATTTGCGACAAAAAGGGCAATCCTGCGGCTTACTATTTGGAACATAGCTCGGAGATTGAACTACCGGAAGCGGAGAACATGTCTCGCCGGAAGATCAGCTCTGGCAAGGAATGTGAGTAATTTTGATTAAATATCCCCACCAGTTCTTGGTAAATCTAAACTGGGTATTCGAAGCTATATATATTTCTAAATTCTAAATTTATATTGATTTAGCTGAATAATAAATGTGTAATATATCACGTAAAAGGGTCAAACATAAATAAAATCATTTTAATAACAGAGAGATTTATTCTGGAATTATCGTTATTTAATAATTAATAATTATTAAATTATATTTTCGAAACTGCATCGATATTTAAATATCGATATATAATTCTCCAACTTTGTCGAACAAACGTGTTTATTCGATCATGTTTGACTCTATTTCAGAGTAATGCTTCAATCGGCTATACTTTCCACGATCAGTGAAATTGCAGCAAAAAATGTCCTATATTATAACCTTTTTATTTCAACATTTCAACGAACAATATTGTTTACAATGAATATAAAACGTTAAATTATACTAATCGAATGATATACGAATTATTTCAACCAAATAGTATCAATGTCGAGAAAAGAATAAATTAAAGAATGAAAATTAATTATGAAATTTGGTATTACTTCGAACGATGAGTGTACTAGGTGTCCCGATAATTAATTGTCGATTTACTGTTCAAATCAATTGCAAATGACTTGACAAATAGATGGCAACATTGCATCGTGCACTTCGTTCTTTCCCCGCCTTTAATGGCTATACATTCCTTGACTTATACCCTATAGAATCTTCTCGGTAATGACCCGGAAAAATCGATAGAACTTAAATTTGTAAGGCAAGGAAAACTGCTCCGATCGATGAGACGACATGCCCTGGTCGATTGACCAATGAATTATTTAGCAACCCTCGAAAACAACAATTCGTGGAAATTGTATTGACATTATTACAGTGTTATGATATAAAGACATCTTCTTAATTGAACGACGATTGACATTTCTAACAAAGAAATGGTAGAAATAATGGCACCATGATTTTTCGAAATTTGAAAATATATAGAAATTGATATTTTTCCCTTAGGTATATTAGATACAAAGACATTATTTTCTTAACTGAACGACGATTGTCATTTGTAACGAGAAAATAGTAGAAATAAAGGGAATATGACTGTTCAAAATTCATAAATGTATAGAAATTTATTTTTTCTCTTTAGGTACATTAGATATAAAGAAATTATTTTTTTAATTCAACGACGAATGACATTTCTAACAAAGAAATGGTAGAAATAAAGGGACCATGATTTTTCGAAATTTGGAAATATATAGAAATTGGTATTTTTCATTTAGGTATATTAAATAAAAAGACATTATTTTCTTAACTGAACGACAATTGACATTTCTAAGAAACAAATAGTAGAAATAAAGGCACCATGATCGTTTGAAATTCATAAATCTATAGAAACTGATTTTTTCCCTTTAGGTATATTGGATATAAAGAAATTATCTTCTTAATTGAACGACGATTGACATTTCTAACAAAGAATTGGTAGAAATAAAAGGACCATGATTTTTCGAAATTTGGAAATGTATAGAAATTGATATTTTTCTTTTAGGTATATTAGATACAAAGACATTATTTTCTTAATTGATCGACGATTGACATTTCTAACAAAAGAATAGCAGAAATAAAAGGACCATGATTTTTCGAAATTTGGAAATATATAGAAATTGATATTTTTCTTTTAGGTATATTAAATAAAAAGAAATTATTTTCTTAATTGATCGACGATTGACATCTCTAACAAAGAAATGGTAGAAATAAAGAGACCACGATCGTTCGAAATTCAGATATAGTATAAGAGAGAATTTGAAGGAAAATTACAAGCTGTAGCATGTCGTAAACATTTCCTTTGAGAATCGACAAGCAAGTCGGTTTGCTGAAAAATTCCTGTAACGTTCCTTCTATTACCTGTTCGAAGCTGCATACTAAATTGTTCGTAGAAAATGTAAATGGAAAGTGCAACAAAGTTGAAGGTGAATCTTCATCGTAGATCAATGACGATTTCGATGCATAGTGGACGATCATGTTCGATAAATGGTTGGAACTTGAGGTAAATTAAACTTGCCGAGAGTTTACTCTCATAATCAGCCAAGACTCTCAGAACTGTGTCTATTTGTGAGTCGTTTGTCTCGTTTGAAACTCGCTTATCTTGCCTTTCCATATTTCTTTTTAAAATACGATCAAGTCGAAATATTGAAAAATATTCTAAATATTTTAAACATTCGAATTTAAAAATTAAAGTTTAGATATTAATTATTACACAAGAATGTTTCAAATTTGAGTATACAATAGGTCATTTTCAAATATATTCGCGATGAATAGTAAACGAATAGTGTAATATATTTTACTAAACCTATTCATAATTTTCGTGAATCATTAATTTAATTTAATAACACACAAGTGGATCTGAAATTAATTTCTCTTAATTTCCTTTCAATTTAACTTAATCATTTCATTTACTGGAATCTTCTTCGAATAGCTCGAGATCGCTCGATTACTTATATAGTAATAAAGAATATAGTAATCGAATAGCTCGATTACTTATCACCTCCTGAACATTCCAATTCGAAATAAATTCCACTTGTTCGATGAGCATCGATATAATAAAATATAAAATGTTCCGTCGATGATGTGAAATTGAAACATAAAATAAATAGCGTGGTTCGAAATCGTGGCATAAACATGACCATCGTTGAATTGTAAAGATTGACACAGGGTCTATATTTAAATTGACGGACCTCGATGTTGCATTCAAGCTGGCAGTATTTTACATAACATACATGAGCGCAACGTGCAATGCGTACAATGTACACCGGCATTTCAGCCAACATTGATTGATCTATTTACCGAGAAAGCAGAGGATACGTGTCAGAGAGCGAGGGAGTCCGTGTACTCGGTTAGCTTTTCAAAAATTGATTAATTCACTGTAGGAACACGCGATCCACGTCAAAATAAAACGTCACTCCCGACTAGCACGATTATTATAATTTAAATTAAATCGATCAACGTTCATTGTCTTTTATTCTCCCTGACAATTATCCAAATCGACTATATTTAATGATACATAATATTGGTGACAAAATTTGCAGATTTTGCATATTTGAATCTAATTTGAGTTAGGCTCTTCTTAACAGTAGAATTGAAATATGAACAAGACGAAATGACTTGTCCTAAATTTTTCATTTCTGCATTTATTGAAAACAGTAGTTTGACAAAAAACATTGTATTAGTGGCGTTCAGAGTGCATCATTTAATTCCGACTATTATTTAAAAAATTTTTTGTACAATAAATAGGTGGTTAATTACAGGTGACAGAATTAAATAACTCATGCTGCATATTTATTTTTATCGTACCACTCTGATTATTGTTATTTATAATATACGTTATGTTCAGATATATACAAACTATAGCTGAATAACTTTAATATTAATTTAATTGACGATACGAATTTTCGTAGCGGAAGATTTCATCGTTTCATTATCGTTGTCACCATTATTAACTCTTAACCTGTTTTGTTCCATTTTTCGTTGGGTTTTCTGCTCGTGTTTCTGCAGTAAATAACTTCTTTCTCGATTATCAATATACTGTGCCACTTGATCAAGTGTTTATTGCACATGAAGCACGCAGTACGATTATCGACGTAATTTTTCGTCGAACGCGTACAAGAGATATCTTGTCCAATTTTCCCCAGTATTATTGACGTGTTAAAGCTAAATCAATGACTCATTGGAAATACCGAACATATATTGTAAAATATTTATTTCATTCGCAATGCTGCAACGGGTGCTCTAAATTACAATCAAATTCTCAGCTTCCAGCACTTTCGTTAGCATATCGAAGAAAACGCGCGAGAGACTACATAGATCGAAGGATAAATCTTACCAATTTTTAATTACACTTGTAATTTCGAAAAAAAATTCAAAAAAATATTATGAATGAGCTCTCTCGACAAAAATTAGCAAAATTTATTATGAATTTTAAGGTAACTCGATTCGCAGTAACATATCTTTAAAAATATTCTATTTCTAACAAGCAATTTTATTTTTCTACCGTTAAATGATCAATTTATAAAAGTGTTCATAGATAGATAGAAAAATAGATAACTGTATTGGATAGAAAGTTGATAGGAAGATAATTGCACTCGAGATAATACAATGGAACGGTTGGATGTTTCCTTGTTTATAATTGCTACAGATAACGTACCTTCGATTTTTCTAAATTTGTCCAATTGTTTCACGTGTATTCGATTTATTAATGTACCATGTTCTTTAAATAATTCGAGATACTCCATGATGACGAGCATTCTATTGACGTCGATGTTCCTATTCCTCGAAGACATATGTACATGTATTGGGTTGGCAAGAAAGTACTTTCGGTTTCTTAGTGTGAAATAAAACTCAATTTTTTCTATATAGTAAATGAACTTTAATCAGTCAAATATCTTCCATTCTATTCGATATCCTTTTGCCATCTTTCTGGTGACTTCATGATCACGCGCTCATAGAATTTCTGGTTTTTATCTGCAAAAAGCTTAACCAAGTACGTAAATCTCAGAAGGTCGATCAGAACGTTGTGGGTACCTTTCAGTGAAAAATCTTCAGAACGAAATTTTTTAAACTAATTCTGACACGTGCATTCTGTTAAACAATCAACACCATAAACTTCTCATATTTCTTTATGAGCCTCAGTCGCATTCTTGCCTTTATGCAAAAATAAAAAGGTAAAATGTGTCGAAAATGCTTATTTTTGCACTCCATGTTAAGACTGACCGTGAACTGACAGTTCTAAACGAAATTACACGGAATTTCACGAAATAGCAACCTAAAGGTATCGACTATTATATCTCAAAAGAAAAAAATTCTAACATTGACAAAAGAATAACTAAACAAGCTTAACATTATTTACCGATGCAAACCGAAATTACTTTCTTGCCAACCCAATACATACATTCTAGAAAACAAAAAGGGGTCAAAGAAATTTTTATTCCGTGTTTTTACACCGAAACACTGGCCGGCATTGTACAGAAAATCGATGTCTATTGCTAAGAGGACTCCCTGGTATCTAAAACATTTATCACATTTCCACGACACGCGATGTATAGTTACAAATCTTGTCACTTGTAAATAATTAACGAGGCGGTTAGATCTCGAAGAGAAAAGGTCATGCTATTATGTCTCTTGTCTTTTACCCCCTTTCTGGCGTATTTCATATATGAGCCGCATATTTATTTCCTATCTTATCGAGTTCGATGTTTCAATTAAGCTGAAAGGCACGTGCGTTTAATTGATATCGTTTACGTACTTCGTTCAATGAAATTTCGGTGACTCGAAACATATTGAACTTGGTTATCGAGCAGACACTGATACGAAGTGAAACGAAGAAAGTAAATAGCTTAAAATAATTTTAAAAATTGGGATGCATCCAGTACGATCAAAAATTAATCGAATTAACGAATATTTATATAATTTATAGAATTAATCAAATTTTATATTACGACGAACGAAAAGTGTTTTTCTTCTTTTCTAGGCTTGGATTTCAAACCTTCCAATATCAGAATATGGATTCACAATCGAGATCTAGGGAAGTTGCAGCAGGTTCTATGGGAAGGCCATGGAAACAAGTTGCGTATGGAGACCAGCAACAATCCACGCGTGAAGAAATTTTTGGAAGCTGTGCCATTTATAATGGTTCGTATTACTATTAAAATTTTTCGAAATCACTTTGCAATAAATACTTTAAAAGAGTAATTTCCAAACTCCCAATCTTCTTTCCTCGAAATTATTGAGATCAATTAGAAATCGGTATGAAATTACATAAAGTTCGAATACTTTTCTTTCACTTTGTCGTCTATTTTAAATATACCAACGTAAAAATATTATTATACTGATATAAAAATGATATTACAGGGTACCACGAAAGATATTCACGCAGCCACGGTGAATAACGATTTAGAAGGACTTAGAAACAAAGTGGAGTGTACATCGCCCATCGTCCTCAGCGGCAAGGATGCCAATGGCCTGAACGTTCTACACAAGGTACAAACTTGATAATTTTATTATTTTTCCTCCGATATCGAAACACTCGATTGTCAACAGGCTGCTGGACTGGGACACACGGAAATTGCACGGGTAATTCTCGCAAAGAATCCTTCCGTTGTGGAGGCGCAGGACAACGATGGGAAGACGCCATTGCATTATGCAGCTGGAGCGAAGGATGATGGAACTCTGTATAATTTGTTAACGGAATACGGGGCTGACGAAAGTAAATTAGATCACGTGAGTATTTCGTATATTACATTCCCCAATCATGGTAAAATAAAATATACTAAAATTGCGATACAAATTGCGATTTAATTAAAAAATAATTTCCATAGAGTAAAGAATAATTTTCATATATTGCAATTATCTCCAATAAAACGATTTATGGCGATTTATTAAATTTATCAGAGACTAAAGGCACCAGCCTTCTACAAGAACCGGCCATCAGACTTGGACCAGTCGCTGTTGAACGTGATACCGGAAGCGCCCCGAGTCGCCGGGACGTCGTACCCCAAGAACTGGGACTGGAGGATCCTGGAAGCAGAGGAATCTATATCTCGAGGAATGAAGAAGGTCAGCAGTGCGGATATCGATAGCGCGTTCGGCAGCGCAGAATCGGCGACGAAAAATTTCAGTAGATCTATGGAACAGGTATTATAACAAATACTCCAACGTTTTCTAACCTATCGCTCAGAGAATAAGAAAATCGTCGAAACGGTCCAATTTCCCTTACTCTAACGATAACTTTATTAACCCGGTGACACATTTGCCTATCGGAAATGGATTAAAGTAACTCTCAGAAAAGACAGGCTGCGCTGGAATCGGGGAAAGAAGAATTTTAAAAGCTCGGATTTTTTAATCGTTTTATGGAACAGATTAAAAATGTCGAGGAAGATCAGCCGGTGGATCAGCAGGAGAGCGCGGACGACGCTGAGAACGCTGAAAATGCCGAAAACACGGAGGCCGATACAAATCCGGAGAACACGGAAGACGCTGGCGATGCGGAGGACGCGGAGAATGCGGAAAACACGGAGGCCGTGGAGAACACGGAGGATGGAGAGAACACGGAGAATGGAGAGAAAGCAGAGGAAGATGCAAAGGAGTCGAACGACGCAGAAGACGCACCTGAGAACAACGAGGAGACAGAGGAGGCTAAAGTGGAGGACGCCGAAGAGAGATCCTCGGACGACGACGTGGTGACAGGGCCGGCTATTCCGGGTGCAGAGGAAAATCCCGATCCGGAGAACGAAGAAGAGAAAGCCGAAGAAGCAGAGGGTAAGAGCGAAGAGGATAAAGAAGAACAGGTAGACGCGGATGAAGCGAAGGAGGAAGAGGCCGCTGAACAGGACGAGGAAAACAAAGCGGAGCAGGAAGAGAGAAACGAGCCGAGTACCGGTGACTCTGGCGTCGATGATCCGGGAAACGAGGAAGATCAGGTACAGTCATCATAACTTGTTAGACGAGACGAATTTTCAGGAATTTCATAGCACAAAAGTATAGACTTGTATTTATGACGAGACTTATATCGCTGAGTGAGAAGTATAAAATATAAGTATTATTATAATGCGATCCTAATATCGATGCAAGGAGTATTAGAAACGAGAAGGCATAGACGGTAGATTCTAGGATTCGATTGTCCGTTCGTGTATAGTCGGCCGACATAGTGCCCATGAGTAGGCATAACGAGGAGCTCATGCTTGCGGTTGTGACAGGATGCAGTTAGGGGTGTCATGTGTATTGGAAGCAAGAGACGATCGATATGGAGATATTATACAGTATGTTCTTTGTCACGCACAAATATATACGAATAAATAAATGTTGACTGAGCAAGGAACTTCTGTTATGTAACTTCTGCTCTACAGACCCAGACAAAACGCATGAAAACGTAATTTCTTTCTTTCCGTCAGAGTTTTAATCGAGTCAGCAGAGACAGCAAATTTTCTCTTATCCGGGACGTTCCTTTCTTTTCAATTTCATTCGCGTATTTTAAATATCGATTCGCGTGTCCCTTGAAGAAAGAACGATCACTCGCAGAGAAATCTAGCTATCGTACGTTTAGACACAGAGACATCGAACTTGTAGTACATTTCACCGAGCATTTTCATTTTTCCAATTTTTTAAATACACCACCAGATCACTTCCCATTCTATATCGCTTTTTAATTTCGAAATATCTTCTGATTTCTTCGCATATAAAATAACAAAGACACTGACACCAATTAGATTTCCATCTCCTCGAAGCTACCCTCAAAGTCCGATTCCCATCTAATTAACCCAAAAACCAGTGAGAACTCGGTCAATTCCCATTGTCACGAATCATCCCACTACCGTCCAGACACCGTGGCGAAATAACGCCTTAATTAGAGACACCAGTCGTCAACCATCGAACTGTCAAAGAGACTCGGTGTAATTGGTGGCGTTTCGTGCGGACAGCAAAGCGTACACACGCAAGACGAAACGCAGGGTAGCCGCGAACGATCGATTTACGGTATCTAGATTGTCAGGTGCGATTAATATTTTGCCGTATCGATCGGTACGTGGCTGTCGTGCGCATGGTTTTGCACCTGCAAATGATTAGCAGGTGATCGTCGGCGAGCACGAGGAGCTTCCGGAGGCAGAGCTGAACGAGGGCAGCATGACGGCGGACCCGGAAATCGAGAAGCTGCTGGAGGCCGGGAACATGGAGCAATTGGCAGCGTTGGTACTGAACGGCGAAGGAAGAAGACTGGTCGGTCGACATTCGGGCAATTCCGAGCTTCAGACGTTCATCGATCGCGTCCCATCGTACATGGTATTACGCGTAGAAACTTTCTTCTTCCTCCTCACCTTTTCATAAACAGACGTGTCATTACTGCACGCAAATCACGTCGAATTAGCGTCCGGTTTTTTACCCGGTAATTGCCAATGTAGACATTATGGTCGGTTCCAGCCAGTTTAATTTGTGATTTCACGGGCGAGAGTGGATGGTATTTTTATTGAAGATCGGTTGGGTAACCAGATGGCTTCCAAGAACTCGTTTGTAAATTTAAGATGGCAAGAATTATGGGTTTTTATGTTAAGCTGTAGCATGATCAATTATTATTTTTTGATACTACAAATTTGTATTTTTAAGATTCACGTTCTTAATTCATAAAATTCTATTTCCTATTTTTATTGTCGACTAATCCGTTTGTTCGTTTCTCAGATTTGAATTATTTGGGATATCTGCCGAATGTTTTAGGGGAAAATTCACGCTGTGCATATGGCAGCCAGAGAAGGAAATTTGAGAGACCTGCAAAGCGCCTTGGATCGTCGCAAGTTTGCCATTGCAAGAGATGGATCATCGCCGCATGGTGCAACTCCTCTGCACGTTGCAGTTGCGTTTGGAAACACCACCATAATCAGGTAATTAATTACGACTTTCCATATTTAATTTCTTCTATTTCTTTTCCCTTTTTAATTTCCATTTCTTCGTCTAAACAATTCATTTCTTCGTTCCTTATCGATGCGTCGATCTCTGTAAAATGTAATATCAACGTCACTAGTTATGCAAAGTAAATTATTCCTCGCAATGAGGGTTAATAATGACATTTCGAGAGTTGCGTTAGAAATGCTAGTATTTATTCGTGACATTTCACGACTGGAACATCCACGAGAAATGAAAGGTATAAGGGTGAAATATCAAGATTTATCGATTCCTTTCATCAACTAAGTTAATCTTTCATGTTTTCTTCAGGTATCTGGCAGGCAGGTTTCCAGAAACCGCTCATGCAATCGATCACGATGGACGAACACCTTTGCACTACGCGGCAACCCTCGCTGACAACGGCCATTACTATAACCTTTTGCTTCACCTGGGTGCCAATCCTTTAGTCCAAGACAAAGTGAGTGCATTCCACGAATAATTCGCGATATTCGATAAAAGCAGACTCGATTTTTAACGATTTCAATCGATGAATTAATTCTGTATTTATAATTCTATACTTAAAATTAAATGCCTGTTCGAAGGTTCCGATGTAACTATTTTCTGAATTTAATGAGGAAAATTGAAATTGATAAAAATTCGAATTGTATCAGTAACGCTGTTCCCGATGACGATGTTAATTAGGTTCGAGTTTATCGAATTATGACATCAGAGGGAACTTGGTTAATTAAGAATGTAATATTGAGTCGGGTAGGTGGATAAAATATTGCATCGAGGTGTTTCTAAACATGTTATTCGTGCAGTTCAGGGAAAAGGCGGAGTATTACAAGCAGAACCAGTCCGAATTCTCTCACAAATCACTCCTTCGCGATTTCGGGGCTAACGAGAAGCTCGCCGACGAGATGTTAACGGACAAAGGTATTTCACTCGAACGAGGCACTTAAGAGCACCATCGATCACTCCGAACCAAAGTGTACTACGATCCTTAGCAGCACTTTACGTTTTTCTTACCTTTGGAACATAGATCTCCCAGTTTATATTACGTTCCCAGTAGTACGATCACGTGGACTGATTTAGAGTTAACCATCACGTTGCTTTCTCACACCCTGTCAGTTTTATCATCGTGAAAAATCGTTTACATACAATAATTCAAATATTTGTCCTGTAAGCAGATTACTCATCAACTAATTTAGGAGATTTATCAGAGATATATCGCTCTCGAGTGATACCGAATTGATCGAAACATTTATCAGCGATGGGAACTACGACAAATATTCCCAAATCTGAGAGCGAATTTTAAAAATAGCGATCTTCTACGAGTCCGGCTGAAAAATCGATTTCTTTCGCATTTTCTTCAAATTTGCACATTGAAAAATATGCGTTCTAAGGTATTTGGTGAAATTCGTAAAATTAACGAAGTTAGAGACGTCCAAGCATGAACGCGTCGAGTGGGATATCGAGAAGCAAAGATCTCATGCATGCGTGTATACATAGTTACATAATTTCTCCAATTTTCGCTATTTCGAATTGAAAAAAATCACAAGTATTCTCGAATCATGGACAAATGAGTAGACGAAAATCTCGAATCGATATATATTTTGGTTTCTTTGAAAAAAATTCCTAAAGATGTCCTCTTTGATCCAGATTCGTAGAAGGTTCTCGTAAGTTCTCGTATATGTAGAATTTTTTAAACTGGTCCTCGATTAAAATGACGAGAAATAATCAACGTGGGTCGCTTTTCCCATCGCTGATAATTCTGATGACAAATTTCCTCATTAATATATCCGCGGCTGTTCACGTTTCCACTTCTTCCTTCCGGACATCTTCCCACTGGTGTGCACGCCCGAGGCAAACAGTTCCTGGGGGCGACGCGTTTTCCGCGCGACGAGACATAACCGAACCAGAGACCCTAGCTACCTTGGAGCGATGTTTCCGTCTTCTGATCGGCGTAAAGCACGGTATGATACCAAAATCGGCTGGGACCTCCGGCACCCTGATCGGTCGTTGCCTGAAGCGACCCATATTCGATCGTATCAAGCACCGTGTGACACGCATGGACCACAATCTCTTTGACGTGATCTGGCCTGCTTTAAAGAAATACGGTAACTCGAATTGCAACAGCAAGGCGAGCAGCGCTTATTCCATGGTGAACACCGTAGACGAGGATGAATCCTTGTACGTAATAGCGCCGGACTACGAGAGTTACGTGGTATTCGCCGACTTCTTCGATCCTCTGATCAGAGACATTCATTGCGTGACTGCCAGTGGTGATCTCCCGGATCATCCACTGCCGAGATTCTTTTACAACGAAGACGAGGACGGCGAGGAAACTCCCGACGCAGTAGACGAAGTGACCATGTCAGCCATCGAGGCGTACGATCTCGATCCTCCAGCCAAGTACGTCCAGGCTGCAGTGATAGAGTGTTGCAGGAACCTTGAGAATTACACGTTTCCCTTGACACTGACGGTGAACCAATTGGAAGAGGTGGAGCGAGAGATCACCAGTGAATTGATGAGTCAGGAGATCTCTGGGATGATGGCTGAGGGCAGCAGCGAGGATGAACCTGGAACTTATTTCACGCTGAATGAAATACTGGATCAGCCTAGTCCAATCAGGGCACAGTTGGCAGCGGGTGGTCTGCTACTGCCAATCGCGGATTTCGAGGATCACTATGATAAAAAGCTTCACGGGAAACACTGGCCTTACGGTCGTGGCGTCTACATAGCCTCTGCTGGGGACCTGGCTGCCTGGGTGAACGTGCAGGATCATCTGAGGATTGTCTGTCGAACCAGCGACAGTAGACCCGGTCTGATTGGTCGTGCTTACGTGAGATTGGCAAAAGTGATGGTGATACTAGACGAGAGATTGAAATTCAAGAGGGACAAGAAGCTGGGCTTCCTGAGTGCGCGACCCTACGCCATTGGAAATACGCTTAGGTTTAACGTGATAATCAGGTTCCCGGAACTGTCGAAGGAGTACGATCATTTGAGGCATCTGTGTGTCGTTCGTGGATTAAGTATACGGGAAACGGCGAAAAGGGACACGGTCAGGATCGGTAATCAACAGTCGTTGAGCATTACCGAATTGCAGACTCTTCAGGACCTCTCCAGGGCAATTTTGAACATTCTGGCGTTAGAGAAGGAACTGACGATCAATAATTCGATGAAAATTGCCAGCTTGCTCGCCGGGCTGTTTCGCAAACGGAACAGTGCGAAACGTTTCCAGAATTAATCGCGAGGAGGGAAACGCAAAGGGATTAACGTGGAACTTTCTTTCGTCTTTCATCCGCCATGTTATCAGAGACTTTTACTCTTCGTTTTTTTCTTTTCCTTAAGTAATCGAATAATATACGCTTATACGTGGAATCCTTCTGTGATAATTCATGAGCCAATACGTTCGAATGTCAATTAACTCTCATAGACTGAGACTATAGGAGAGATTATTAGCTTACGTCCAGAATGGTTGGAAAAGAACGGAGGAACGTTGGAAAGATGTGTGTGAACGTTATTCTATTTCTCGTGCACCGAGTTACGATAATTAAACGAAAAAGAAAGATTAGCTACTCGGAGGGATGCTGGATCGTTCATTAGGTTAGTAAAATGAACGTTATTGGTACATGGAAAATTGTTACGACGCTTTGACATGTTGTCGCACGACACCATGCACGTACCTACGTGAAATGTGTATATGTACCTGGAACGTGAAATTGGTTACAGAGATTTTGATATAAATTATCCAAAATGGTTGGAAGGAAAAAAAAAGAGAAAAAAAAAAATTCAAGAGCTTTTTATGTGTAATGCACGAGTTCGATGTTCACGCGAAACAGAAATGGCGTAGCACATGTCTTTCCAACTCGATGTATTCAATTCATGACGAACTGTATATTTTTATGAATGGTTACTGTACGTGAATTATGTATAAACGAAATCCCCCACTTTTCACCTCTATCAATGTGACTTTTATCGTGAAATTCTCGTGATTATATATACTCGTGCTTCTGGTATTTGATTCTATATAGTCGACTTGCTTGTGATTTTTGTGTCCAACACGATTTTCAGAGTGAAATAATGCACTTTATGCTCACGATGCACCTTTTACTTGTGAGATATTCGCATCCTTATGATTTTTTTCTTTCCTTTTTCGATGAAAGAAAAGATAAGATGTTAGAAATGTATTGCATTTGCAATTAGATTAAAAAAATTCAGTCATAGCATCTTTTTAAATCGTCAATGTTACAAGTGCAATATGTTTTTTGCATTTTATATAGTCAACTGACAAAAATAAAAATAATTCGTTTTTCAGACGACAATCAAATCGAGATACCGATATTTCGAGAAGAAGAGGGTCGCTACTTAGCATCGTGTAAGTTAATGTTGAACGAAGAAAACAAAGAAAAATTGGCTAGTCTGATTGAAGTATAATTACTTGAAGTATAAAAACTAACCCTTCTCCAGCACTAGGTGATCCATTGATCAAAGGCTTGACAGAGGTTGCCAATACTCGTCCAAAGGATCCGGTTACTTATCTGGCTACTTATCTGTACAACTTTGCCAATAAAAGTAAAAACACTCCGCAAGAACTGGTAAGTAATTCCACGTGTAATTTCGATGCTTCAAATATATATAATTCGACGATGTTTCAGGAACCTAACGTGCTGATCATACCCGATCGTCCCGAAGAAAACATAGATAATATCGAAAATGAAATTGGAGACGAGGATGCCGGTTATCCGCAAAGTCCAGGTTCCGATGTTCCAGAATCAGCTTTTAGCAACCCTAATAGAGTATACCGACTATTAACTGATATATAATTCGGGAAAAAATAATTTACAATCGAGAAAATGGTCGAATGAGCGAAAAATTATGTTATTTCTTCAGGATGAACACGGGCAAAGCGTTATTCACTTTGCTGCCATACGATCTTATCCGAAGGATGGTTTGTTCCATCTACTTCAGGAAAGCCAAATTAACGTTGGATTCAGGGACGAATTGTACAGGACAGCCAGGGACGTGGCTGGATTGGCAAATATCCGAGAAAACATCGACGAGATCGATCATTATGTGGCTTATTTGGCAGCAAGAGGTCAATCTCGATTCGAGATATATTTTTTAAAATCTCTAATCTTCCATATTAACTTCCATGGATTATTATCACGAAACTCTACAATTCGAGGTACATATCTGCAAATAATTATAATTTTTGTTTCAATATTTTCACAGGTGAAACTGAAAAATTAGTGGAACTATTACTAGAGGGGTACGATCATATCTTGGACGTTGAAGACGAAGGTGTGAACATCGTGAACATCGCTGCGGAACGAGGACGAGAAGCGACTGTGCAATTTTTACAATCCATTCCAAACTATGTGGTAAAATAGAAAAGATAATTTTACGCGATATTTTTCATATTTTTAATTTAATTTTACGCGAAGAAATATCGAATAATAGTATACCAAAGAGGGCATATCTTTCACAGACACAACGCGAAGAAGTGCACCACGAAATCAGAATAGGCAACGTATCAAGAGTGAAGGAATTATTGAATAAAAACACCGGAGGAGGGAAACTATTAGCAATGGGAAAGAATTCAATGAGTAGATGCGCTCTTCACATCGCTGTGCTTCGTGAAAACGATGAGCTGACACAATATGTCGCGAGAACCTATCCAGAGACTCTGCGTATCGGTGATAATGTAAGAATCGATTAAATAACCGTGAATTATCGCAAAGAAATATCGAATCTCTGTCAATCTGTTTCAGCTGGAGAGAACAGCTTTACATTACGCAATGGGTTTACCTTCGGTGGAAGAATTAAGCAATATCCTCATTAAAGCGGGTGCAAAACGCGTAATGAGAGATTTAGTAAGACAGAATTTTTACTTTTTATCCGATAGAATTAACGCAAGAATTTAATAACGACAATTCGTTCCTTAAATTTTCAGAAGTCACGGCAACCCTCCTATTATTTCATGAACAAGTCGGATATAGAGCGACTCCGAGAAGAAGAGGAAAGTTTTGTCAAGTAGATCCATTGGACGATACTGATCCGTGCAATCATTCGCTTGCGCCATTAAATATTTGTACGCGTGAAATGTGGCATACATTTGGAAAGAACAAAGTATGCACTCGGTAGGAGCGAAAGGAATAATCATGTGCCACTCCGTTACGTTCTCTTATGCATTAGACTTATCGTTTCTGATCGATTCTTGGTATCCTTTTTCTCGTGGTATGTCTGGCGTAACGAACAGAAAGCGCTCTCCTGAGCCCGTGTAAAAATACGATTGTGTAATGAATCTACGTCGTGTAACAAACAGTACAGTATTAACGATACAAATAATAAAAGTATTCAGCTTTTCTCCGTACACGTTTCTTTTAATTACCTTCACGTAAGTTTTCCACTTTTTTTTGCTCTCGTTTTTTTCTTTTCTTTTTTTTTTTTTACTATCTACAAACCTTCGAGTATATCAAGGCGAGAAGTGAATTCTCGCCTTCATAGTCTTAATGCATCTAAATATTGGCCGAAGAACGCTTTTCTCGATTACCTTCCAATTATATGTTAATATTCATTGATCATAGGAGACGAACGTGAAAAAGCGAAGGTTGTAAAAGTGTATCAAAGAATATCTGCTAGGAAATGAAATTATTTATCAGGATATATACTATACGCCGATGCGCGTAAGATCATTCTAATTGTACGCTATTATATCCTGCACGAGGATATCCAGTCTTTTCTAAGACATCTGCACGCAGTACGCGAGTCTGTAATCCGAAGTAAGCGTTTAATGATATTCTTTGCTTCGTCCGTCATTTTCCTGTAATTCTACCTTGCTTCGAAGCATAAAAGTACTGAACCACGTGATCGTTCTTCGAACCATGCAAATTTCCCAAATTCTGATTATTCGACGAAGTAATCACTGATAAGACATAGCACTTCTCTTACTGCTAATCTTCGGCTGACTTCGTGCTTTTTTCCCCACGCTGAGTTCATCTTCCTCGAGGTCCTCGGCATCCTCGACGATTCGCTGCCATGGCGTGGGATTCACATACGTTGGCTTGGCTTTTTGATGAGCTAATAGTAAGCGAAAATTTAGTCTTCGTTATAAGCAAATTTCCATTATTCGATGATACTTTCCATTGTGAGAAAATAAAAGAACTAACGTAAAAGTCCCTGCGTGGCAGGCCTTGGTTTATTCTTCGCCATCTTCCGCCAATTCTCGTACGCTTTCGTGCTGTCTTCCCGTCTCTTCTTCCTCTCTTCTTCTACCCGTTTCCGGTTCATTTCTTCTTTCTTCTGACGCGCTACACCAACATCGAAAAATAAACGAATTATCAAAGAACCAAAGGATAACCGACGGTTTCCTTACCTTTTTCCTCTTCCTTCTTCTTACGAGCCCATTGGCGAAGATACAAAGTCTTCACTACGGATGCCTTATCCTCGACTTCTTTCAGTTGCTTCTGCAATTCCAATTCTTTCCCCACTACAGCTTTCTTTTGCTCCTCTTCCTTCTTCTTCCTCTCGGACCACTTCACGAAATTCTCCTTCTCCCTGCTCTCCCTTTCCTCCTTTTCACGGATCAATCTCTCCGCCTCGATTTGCTTCTGCCTCTCAGCCAGATCTTCCTCCTCCTTCCGTCGTCGCGTTAATTCTTGCTTCCTTCGAATCCACTCGCTGTACGTGATCTTCTTCACGACATCCGACGCGTTCGATCTGTTCTCCGATATTCTGATACTGGATATCGACGATGTAGAAACTTGCACGACTCGGTGCCCGTTAAACGCGTACCTGTTTAACGAGGAACGATATGCCGTTGGTCTCCCACGGTGAAATGTCGGTAAGAGCAATAGAAAAGAAAATAGTACAGAGAGTGATTAGAAAAATAGAAACGTAGAAAAATATAAAATATAAAATATAAAATAGAAACGTCGTAATACTCGCTTAAGATCGATACGATGGTTATACGCAGGATACCTTTGCACTTCCGAGTCGATTTGCCTGCTACAACAACGCTCTTTGCTATTGTCCGCACTATCGGTAATCCTACATCGCCTTTCGATATGATTCGGAGCTCCATACGATATCACGGACTTGGAACGGATAATACCGGATTGTAAGGATGCGGATGTGTCCGGGGAATTTAAGGAATAACAACGATACGTTTCTTGAGCGGAACCTTGGTCACCGGCATAGTTCATGAACGAGGCGGCCAGGTCATTGTTGAGAGACATCGTGGACATCATATCGCACATCTCCGCGGAATCGCCGCAATTTGCTACGACAATTCCATCATTCTTCGTTCCGACTTTCACTTGAATTTCAACCTCGTGTTCCACGTCTTGGTCGTTTAATGTCTCCGCGTAAATTGCCGGATTGATGAATCGAACTTCCGTATTTGATCTAGAACTCGCAGGAATTGCATCGCAACGAATCATACCATTGCTTCGAGATGTTCTTCTTTCACCATCGTCCGATGGAAAATTTTTCAAACGATCGGAACTGATCATACATACACTGTTTCTGGTCTCGGCATTGTTTACGCCGTGCATCTCATTAATATCATTTCCTCTCTTCCAATCATACCAGCTGTCAGTGTCGCTGTCAAACATCGTCAAGTGTCCTTAATCCTGATCAGGCAATACGCGATGAAGGTTACAAGAGACAAAAGTATATCGAAATTGAACAACTCGTCACATATCGTTGGCTTGCGATGGTATCTTTCGATTAATCCTTAGGAGTCCCAATGGAACTCGCGTACACATATTCGTCCATGTTCCAAGCGATGTTGCACTTTTCGTTTATACAAACAATGACGAATCCCTGTTAGCGACGCAGTGCTGTGAGTATACCTCGATGTGAAATTCACCAAAATGTTTGTGCACGGTATGTTCGTGCGATACCGCGTTCCGATTTTGAACTTGACGGAGATGCCACCTTTAATCCGGAAGAACACAGCAAATCCAAATGACACTAATTGAAATTCAATTCGATGTCTTGATTGATATCGTAGACTATTTGGTAATCGACCAACAAGAAAAACAGATCACCCTCGACGTTTCTCGATATATTGTATGTGGTCGATTTTAATTATATCTATGTTTAATTGTATCCGATTATAACTAAATGGTATGGAAAATAAAAAATGTTTCAAAATAACAAACAGAAATTTTTCATATTTGTTAATTTTACAATGTCCTCTTACTTTCAAAAATAATTCAGAGATAGTTACAAACAAAGTACAAACTGAATTATTTTTTGAAGGTAATGATACACAAATAGACCATTCGTTAAAGTCTTTATTTGTTCCTTTGCTTATTATGTATCCTTATATTAAGTTGTGCTTGATTGTATCACTCAATCCTTGTTTCAAAAGAAATTGTGATCTTAGAGAAATCAGCGTTCAATTGATATAATATTTCTTAAATTCGACTCAGTCGCATTGTTCTGTCGCGTAATCATAAGATACTCTTCCGTGATCTCCTCTGGTTGTATCTTATTGAAATAAGTTTCTCGTTCTTGATGTACGTAGTACGTGTCGTCAAAATTAAAGTGCAATCCGAGTACGATATTTAGTGCAGAAGCGTCATACGCGTGACAACCAGAATACCGATACTGTGGTTTCTTATTAAATCGGCAACCCGCTGATTGAGCTCCTACAATAATAAATACAAATTAATTACATACTACGTTATATTTTAATATATAATTTTAACATACGAATAAAACTATTTTTCACATACGTACCAATGGGACAAATACAATCTCTTGTTAGTGCACATTGTACCCATGGCAACATTACTTTCTCTCTAATTTCTTTAACATTCCTAATTACTAAATGTGAGGCTCTTATTAAAGGGAGAAAGAAGAAACTTTCTGCGGAAACGTGAAAATATTCGTACATCTTTGGGTGTGTTAAAGAGCTAATTGCATGCCTTGTAGGCCAAGTTAAAATTCCAAATTTTGGTAAAAGATATTTTGAAATGTCTGAAGAATTCAAACGCATATTTGAATCCATATATAGTATGTTTCCTAATGAATTTAAAGCTGTCTGTAATATAGAAAAAAAAAAAAAAAAAAAAAAAAAAACAGTAAATACATAAAATAGTAAAATTAGTTATGTTTAATTATTATAAATGTAAGTATTTATAAAGATACAGTTACCTGAATAACTAAAGGTCTATAAACATGCAGTCTATCATCTTCAACATGAGCTGGAAATAAACTTATATCAAAATGAATCACATTACATTTTGTAGAATTACAAGCTGTTCTAATATTTTGCAAAGAATCATCGTTTAATCCAACGCTATAAATAACAATACTGTTATTTGGCAAAAAGTGACTGATATTTCTCACAAAACCATAAATGTGTTGCTCATTTCCAGGCCTAATAAGAGAGACAACAGTCACATTTTGGGATTTAAGACTAAATGGTGTTGTGCTTGTTTGTCCATCGAGACCAAGCATTGCAAGGTATTTGGAATCTGTTACCAGGCGTTTCTCTTCAACATCTTTTAAATTCTCCTGTAACGATTATGATGACAAATTAGTAGTATTCCTTTGAGCAAGCGACAATAATAAAAATTAGTTAAAGGCAAATATCTAGAAACATTATTATAGAAATATTTACTTGGAAGCTTCGTAATTGCTTGTGTGTCTCTGTAACCAGAGTTTGAATGGAAGGTCGTTGATTGCTGAAAGCAATAAAAATAATGCTGCTCCCTGCTATGCAGATAAGCAACAATAGCAGTCCCTTGGTACGCATCTCTCATCATTTAATCAAATGTATTTTCAATTTTTAGATGACAATTAGGTGTATACGTTATGTTAGAAACATTACATGTAGGTTATACATTGTTTGTAACATGAATGACACTTATAAAATGGATATCATTTTAAATGAAACACCTTGGTATTATGTAAATATCAAGATATATGGTTAACAAATCCATTTCATAGAAACGATAATTTCAATCTTTGAATAGATTAGATTAAACGACGTTTTCCCTGATAACAAAACACTGTCAGTGTTCTAGCAGACGCCGCATTTTTAGGAACTTTTTGATTTAATGGCAGCACTGCATGATGACACCACAACCGCATAACTACATATGTAAACTGCACTATCTTACAAATTTTAATCTAAATAAAATAAATTTTTATCAATTTTTTGTAAAATATAATTTTATTATTAATTTGGATATAATTTTTATGTATTAAATCTATTTCATATGTAACGTAGCTTATTGGACAAAATTAATTAAACTTAATATGAAATAATCATATTATACGATTATTTGATATCTTATGCTTCAAATATAACAATTAAATTTATTATAATTTGTTGAACTTTTGACTTGTTATACTGTTAAATAACATTTTTATATAACTACTATTTTGTATTATTATATTAACATTATTTATTAAATAACTAAATGATTATATTAAGCTTATTTTACTATCTAATCATTTTAATATATCTAAATCTTATAGCAATTACGAAATAATAATGTAACAAGTCATGTATACCAATATTAATTATAGTATATATAACATTTACAAGAAATTATGGTATCAAATGTAAATTGAACGTGACGTAAAATAGATAATAAGCTTTAAGTAGTGATTAAATAAGTTAATATAATATTGAAGTATTTTGATACCTACAATTTGCTAAAAAATGTTTACATTTAAATTAATCCGCCTATGATCTGAATACGATAGATTTGAACTCTATAATTTTATATTTATTTATCTTGATTTTCCATTTCGTAAAATAAAATTATTTGTATGACAATTCTATTTTTTATTTGTAACACAATAAATAATTTTATTCGCCATGTGGTTCTAATATTATATTACGTATATCATTTTTTAAAATACACTCGACTACACATAAACCAAACGTATCGATCGTATAAGAAAAGTTATGGCTAGGAACATTCTTGTATGAAAATGCGTATTACCAAGATTCTAAAGAATAAAGCATAATGAAAATATAGTTGTTTAATATTAACACTTACCCCTTGTGTATAGTGCTAACTAATTTCTTCTTGTTTGAGATTTAAATGAAATATAATAATGTGAATAAATTTTATATATTAACACAGAATAAAGTTGGAAGAGGAAAGAATCTTGGAATTTGTGTAAAGCACAATAGTACTGGCATATATATTATAATTAATTACTATTTTTCTGTAATATTTTGTTTATATTAATATATTTAAATGTTATGTTCTAAAAGAAATATATATTTTGCATATTTTAAAGCAATATTTTATGCTGGATAGAAGATAGATAGTAAGTCATTTGTTTATTTAAATGTATGTAAATTTCTGTAATCAATTTATATGTGCAAATAATATTATATATATTGTATAATATTGTAGGAATTGTACCATATATTACAGTTAAATTTATTATCAAAAAAAGTAATGGGTTAAAAATGAAGCTATATAAATTGATAGTCCATCAAAAAACCTTTAGTGGAGAAGATTTAATAATTAATCCTAAAGATCATCCTGGTATAAAAACTGGAGATGTTGTTGAAATTTATCATCCAGAAGTTGAATTTAGTCGTCTACTTCTTCAAGTTACATCTTTTAAAGAAGATTTACAAGGACGTGAAACAATTAGTGTGGAGAATAATGTTGCAACAATGTTTCAATTAAGAACATTTGCTGATGTATATATGAATGTTGTTAATCCAGATGATGTAGCTTTGGATTCTGTTGAGCTTACTTTCAAAGATCAATATCTGGGTCGTAGTGAAATGTGGCGTCTAAAAAATAGCTTGGTAGAATAGATTATTTATCTTTGGATATGTATTTAAGTATTTTATTCACTGCTTCTATTTTTTATATAAATTTTCATTAGGTGAATACTTGTGTATATATGAACAAAAAGATTGAATTCTGTGGAGGCAGTATAAGATGTCAAGTATATGAAATGTGGTCACAAGGTGACAGAGTTGCTTGTGGTGTTATAACAAATGATACTAAGGTTCAAATTTAAATATAAGAAATCAAAATCTTTATAATATTGCTTCTCAAAAATTTGTCTTTTAGGTTGTGTTTCGTTCTTCAACAAGTATGGTATATCTTTTCATTCAAATGAGTTCAGAAATGTGGGATTTTGACATTCATGGTGACTTATATTTTGAAAAAGCTGTTAATGGTTTTTTAGCTGATTTGTTTCAAAAATGGAAAAAGAATGGCAGTAATCATGAAGTAACAATAGTTCTATTCTCAAGAACATTTTATAATGCTAACAGTCTGGAAGAATTTCCAAATCACATGCGTGAATGTTTACAACATGATTATAGGGGAAGGTTTTATGAAGATTTCTACAGGGTGGTAGTTCAAAATGAAAGATTTGAAGATTGGAGTAATGTATTAGTACAGTTACGTAAACTATTCACAGACTACCAGAAAATTGTATTGGACTATCATCAAAAACCAAATGTTACTATACCAAAAGCAGTTAATTCAACAGCTGCACAAGGAAATTTTTTAGAAGTTTTAAATATGTCTTTAAATGGTAATAATTGTGGCACCATATAGTTAAATTCGTTATGAAGTATTTTCTTTAATCCAATCTATTTACAGTGTTCGAAAAACATTATTTGGATAGAAGTTTTGATAGAACTGGTCAATTATCAGTAGTAATTACACCTGGTGTAGGTGTTTTTGAAGTTGACAGAGAATTAACAAATGTTACAAAACAAAGAATTATTGATAATGGAGTAGGTAGTGATTTAGTTTGTGTTGGAGAACAGCCATTGCATGCAGTACCTCTATTAAAGGTATTTGTACTAAATTTATTAAATAACATTCAGTAACATGTAAATATTTATATTTATGATATTTGTGCTATAATTTTAGTTTCATAATAAAGATACATCTATTAATGCACCTGATGACTACA